TGGGTATGGGTGGTGTATGGTGTTAGGTTAACCTAACCTCCCCCCTCCCCCAACCTGCATATTGTTAAAAGGCATGTGGATTTACATATATTAAATGTTAAATTTAATAATATTTTGAATTTTATGTGAAAAATAATTGATATTTTATGTATTTCCTAAATGTTTTAATCAAATAAATGGAAATATTGATGTTTATGCTATGGATCTGGACCCAACTTGCCAATCCGACCTGCCCCACTTTCAAATGTAGGGAGGGTAAGTAGGGTGTTGGGAGAGTTTGGATTTTGAAAATATGTTTTATAAAGAATATGGGTAAAGAGAACCAAAGAGGTGGATGGGATTTAGAATTTATGAAAACCCTTCTCTAATTCACCATAGAGAAATAGCGGGAGCATTTGTAGATCATTTTAGGAGCATATATAGAAGGCCACTGAATAATAGGGTATGGTTGGAGGGCTTGGATTGGCCAACACTGAAGAGAGAAGAGATGGATTGGTTGGAGAAGAAATTTGAGTTGGAAGAAATAAAAGAGGCGGCATTTTCAATGGATAGATCAAAGGCACTGGGCCCAGATGGTTTTACGATGGCTTTCTATCAGGATTGTTGGGAGATCGTAATGGAGGACATACTGTTGGTATTTGATGAATTTCATACCAGAGGAGTGATTAACCCGGGACTAAACTCCACATTCATTGCTTTAGTTCCCAAGAAAAGTGAGGCAAGCCACCTAAAGAACTATAGGCTGATTAGTCTAGTTAATAGCCTTTATAAGATCATCACGAAGGTGTTGTCAATTAGAATCAGAAAGGTGCTACCATCTATCATCTCGAACAAACAAGGAGCTTTTGTGAGAGGGAGACAAATAACAGATCAGATACTAGTAGCAAATGAGAGTTTAGAGGGTTACAAGAGATCCGGGAGAAGAGGAGTGGTCTGCAAACTAGATCTAGAAAAGGCTTATGATATGGTTGATTGGCCCTTTCTATTGGAGGTGATGATGAATTTTGGGTTTGGAGATATTTGGTGCAATTGGGTGATGGGATGCATTAAGGATTGTCACTATTCTATCCTGGTGAACGGGACAGTGGCAGATTATTTCCCAGCTTTGAGGAGGATCAGACAAGGAGATCCTCTATCCCCCTTTTTGTTCACATTGGTAGCTGAAGTGCTGGGGGGTTTGATATCTAAAGCAGACTCTAGGAAGCTTATAAGAGGGTGGAGAGTTGAAAGGGATAATGTACCACTTACACATCTACAATTTGCAGATGATACGATTTTGTTTTGCAAAGGTGGGGATGTCAATTGGATTAAAAATTTGAAACTCTCTATACAGCTCTTTGAACAAATGTCAAATCTTACGATGCATTTTGAAAAAAGTTGTATAGTTGGAGTCAATATGGGGGAAGGGGAGATGGGGCAGTTTGCAAATATTTTGGGATGTACAGTATCTAATTGGTCGTTAAACTACCTGGGCCTACCTTTGGGAGATAATCCTTAGAGAGATGATTTATGGGCCCCTATTGTGAAGAGATTTGAAAAGAGACTGGCCAACTGGAAAAGAAATTATGTCCCTTGGAGGGAGAATCACCCTAATTAGGTCTACGTTGGCTAACCTTCCTGTATATTTTTTTGTCAGTTTTTAAGATATCGTTGAAGGAGGCTAATAGGTTGGAAAAGCTAATGAGGGATTTTCTGTGGGGCCGGGGGAGGAGAAGAGGGACCATAGAGTCAAATGGGAGGTGGTTTGTAGAGCTAAAGAGGAGGGAGGGTTGGGTATTGGTAATATTAGGACTAGGAACCTGGCACTACTAGGAAAATGGTTATGGAGATTCTCACTAGAGAAAGATAAGTTGTGGGTTAAGGTAGTGGGAAGTATACATGGACTGGCAAATAATGGTTGGGATTCAAGAATTCTAGCAAGGGCCACAAGAGCTTCCCCTTGGAGAGCCATTCAAGCCATCTTGCCTTTATTCTCTCCATGGTTTAGGTATGACTTGCATTTTAGTACCCTTATCAAACTCTGGGAACAAGTTTGGGTTGGGGACTTCCCTCTGAAATATCAATTTCCAGGCCTTTTTGCTTTGTCCTCCCTCAAGAATGAACTAATTTCTTCGTTTATTGCTCCTTCTAATTCACCCTCTGGGTTTGGTTGGAACCTAAGCTAGAGGAGAGGTGTTAGGGACACAAAGATTGCTTGTATCATAGCCTTACTTTCTATCCTTGAAGGGGTCTTTATTGATCCATCTAAAGCAGATTGCAGAATCTGGACACTCACTCCCTCAGACTCTTATACTTGTGCCTCCTTTTTCAAAGCACTATTACCCTCTCATCCCGCTGGCTTTTCTTTTCCTGTTAAAGAAGTGTGGTGTCGACCTATACCTCCTAAGGTTGGGAGTTTTTGTTGGGAAGCCTTCCTTGGAAGAATTAATACAAGGGATCTACTCTAAAGGAAAAGACCTAACAGTTGTTTGTCTCATCATTGGTGTATTTTCTATAAGTCTGACGGTGAGTCCGGATATCACTTGCTAATTTCTTGTTAGTTTGTTAAAGCTATTTAGGTATGATTTACTTCTTTGTTTGGATGCAGATGGACCCCCCCCCCCCCCTTGAGTGTTCAAAACTTGTTTTCTTCCATGCCTAATTGGCCAACTAAAGGGGCTAAAATCATGTGGAGGTGTGGTAGAGCTGCAGTGGGAGGAGAGGAACTCAAGGATCTTCTCAAGTAAAGGGAGAGGTATGGAAGAAATTATAGAGAGCATTCACATTAGAATGACAAAATGGTTGAGAACATTGGAGCTGTTCAAAGTGTTTTCAGTTGATGAGTTGTTAAGGAATTGGAAGGAGATTGCAGATTCAGGCCTATGTAGAAAGTTATTAAAAGCTTGTTGGAGTCTTCTACCTATTTGATTCACCAAACTGAATTTTGATGGTAGCAGCGTAAGCAACCCAGGGCCTTCGGGAATTGGAGGTGTGATAAGGGATGGAATAGGGAACGTGTTAGCCATGTACTCCGGGCCAATTGGGATGGGAGATTCATTGAGGGTTGAGATTCTTAGAGCTATTGAAGGAATTTAAAGGGTCAAGGAAATGAAGATCAAAAAGGTGGTTATAGAAGGTGATTCTACAATGGTGGTGAAATGACTAACAGAGGACAGTGCTATGTAATTGGATAAAGAGAAATGCAAATGCATTGCCTGATGGTCTAGCTAGGCAAGGGGTAAATAGAGACATTATTCTGGGCTGCTTTATAATCACTAATAAAGTTATTGGGTAACTGGAGTTAAAAGACCTTTTAGCTCCATCTCGTTGTAATCTTGTTTTTATCGTTAATAAAATTTCACTGTTACTGATAAAAAAAAAATTCCATCCCTAAAAATATTGGTTGCTGGCAAATTTGAAATACTGCCTTCAAACTTCAAAGTGATTTGCTCTCTGAACAATCTTTTCCAATGTCCGCCCCCTGTTAGGCAAATCCGCATCACACGCATAAAAACGAAAATGAAATGGTTGCATGTCCAATCATTACTTTTTGACTTGTGAAGCTAAAGATAGACTCCAGCTTTTCAGTTTTTGTAAAGTAAGAACGGGAAGAAATATACAAGAACACAGATCGATGGGATACCGATATTGCAAGATGAGTTAGACATTATCGCTAGAGACGTTTGGATTAGGCTTCTTTGATTACATTCATCGTGCTACAGAACGGACTTCGTTCTTCTGGCAACGATCTATCTCAATCTTTGCTAGCTAACTACCCACCATCCATTAGGTTGCATGATCAGAACAAAGAAATTTCCTGGGACTCTGTTTCGACATTAGAGCTAAGCAATTAAAATATTCAATATCAGCTCGCAAGAAAACAGAAGAGTATATTCCTCCGGTCTGGAAGTATACGATCTAATGGATTTATAACTAGCCCAAGTTCTCATTGACTCATCGAGTTTGAAAAACTTTTTCTGTAGAATGTACTACCGGGATCAAGTAGAACTAAATTCAAATTATACTTTGTAACCTTAGAACCATGTTTGAATTGCATGTAACCAGCTTGTCCCTGCCTCAGTGCCTCACTAATCAAAATCTTTTTTTCTATCGCTTCCTGTATTCATATTGTCCACAAGGTCACTGACACCTTTTAAGAGATCAAAAGTGGAATACCCAGTATATATATGAATCGATCGACAACCTGAATGCCTCATATCTCGTTCATTGTTGATTTTAGGATCTGTTGTTTGGCTCCACTAAATACGATTCCGGCCAGAAAATAAAGGATACATTACCATATTTTTTTATTAATTGTCATACGTAGGCAACTCTAAAATACATTATTGATTTTAATTACCAGGTACCATATACAAAATTAGTGCTCAAACTCAAAAAAGATGGAATTTAATTTGTAGACAGATTTTGGCGAGAGAAAGAGAGATATATTGAAATATTATAACCTTATTTTATTACACACAACTCAAATACATGCATGGATATGAGAGTGTGCACATCCAAGCTATTCCAAGCTACAAACCCAGTAGAGCAAATATATCTAAATATACCTCAATAGTGATTAAACCCAGACCTTACGCTTAAGGGGGAGGGGGAGGGGGAGGGGGAGGACAGGATGATTAGTTGAGGGTTTGTAACTCCTTATTTCTGATACGTTACCAAATACTCTTAAGGTATACGACCACCTCCACCTCCAGACCCATAGCCTGACCCCGACCCAGACCCATAACCAGACCCTGAACCATTGCCAGAACCACCACCACCACCACCGCCACCACCTCCACCTCCACCTCCACCAGCACGGCCACCTATTCCACCACCATAACCGGAGCCGCTACCACTCCCGGAACCATAGCCTGATCCGCTTCCACTTCCATTGCCACCGCCACCCCCACCTCCACTTCCACCTCCACCACCTTTCCCATAGGAACCTCCTCCTTCACCATATCCTGATCCGCTACCACTCCCAGAACCATACCCACTACCACTCCCTGAGCCTTGACCTCCGCCATGGCCACCACCACCCCCACCACCTCCTCCAACACCTACCCCAATACCAACTCCTACTCCAATTCCACCTCCATGGCCATAGCCGCTTCCTCCCCCAGAGCCATATCCAGTACCCCCACCACCACCACCGCCACTACCTCCCCCACCTCCCTCTCCATAGGACAGGGTTCTAGCTGCAGAGGAGAATTGGAAAATGAGTAGGACTAAAAAAGCAACAACAGTAACCACTCTCAAAGAAGCCATGCTCTTTTCAGAGTGAGTTATTTGTTAATTCCCGGGAATGATTTATAACGAGAACTGAATGAGAGGAACTCACGCAACGAGGTGCAGTATTTATAGAGGGAGTGTGTCATCTACAGAGCATGTCGGTCGGTTAAGTGCATATCCTTTTCATTATTGTACGCGTCTCTACGCCTGATTTCATCCTTATTCTACCTTTTGACTGCAAATAAAGCAGCCGACAACTTAGAATTGTTTAGCAAGTGCGAAGGTGAAGTGGATCACTATCACTCTAACTCTCAGTTCTTAAGAAGATAAAAACGTCTCAACGACAAGGTGGTTGATGAAGGAATAACAACACGCGCATAGAAAGAGAACCCTCAAGTTGATGTGTGATGTGTGAATTGTGCTAGAACTTTCATACACATGAGTTCAAACACTCTACATTTATAACACTGAGGATCACGATACACCACGTCAGCTCCGTACACCTGGGACCGATCTATCATGCTGACATGGCAACTCATGATTGGCCCAGTATAAAAATCTTTCGTCCAACTGAAGATCATATGGCCCTGACAGAAGCCGAACTCGCCCTCAATATGATCTTCAGTGTTGAATTAAGAATTTGGTTGGTGCCCAATGTTTTAAATGACGAAGCTAGCGTTCTCTGTCCAGTCCAATAGCCTTATGATATGAAGTGGCCGGTCTAATAGCCTTATGAGTGGCACATCTCCAATTTTTGTTACGTTGAAACCATGGTTGACCGGGTTGAACCAAACCACCCATAATTTTGATTTCAACTTCCAAGGCCAGCCTCTTTGAAAATCAGTACTCAAATTATTGTCTCCTAATGATGCGAGCCCATGGATGGACATCGTCAACAACATGTGTAGCCAAAATTCACTGTTCTATAACACGGAATTCACTCAGGGTTAAGTCATAAGTAGTGGACCCTTGATTTCATTGATATATATATAAACAAATTAATTGAACTTAGAAACAAACTAGAGGCCCTAAGACATGGGGCCTTATCCAATATCCTACTTGCATTACATGGGTAGGTCCATTTCCCAAACAGAAAGATGAAAAACAAAAACACTCCAAAGTGGGTGTCTCATCTAACAGTTTAACCTTTTAGGTTGAATAGTTTTTTGGCATATTATCAGAGTCTATTTGATCAAATGGTTTAGTATTCTATTATTCGATCTTCCTTGTTCTTATTATAATTTAATTAATTAAATTTCAGCAAGATAAAAGTGGGCCTATGCTTATTTTTTTATATTTATTTATTTGAAAAAGGGCCTATGCATGTTCACCCTTAGAGAATAATTAGTGGGGACCCGTGCGATGCACGGGATTTATTAAACAAAGGCTAAACAATAGAAACACATAAGAGTATATAATTGTTTTATACTTTTAATTTTTTAATAATTAGTAATTATTTATATTTTGGGTTCAACTACGAAATGTGAAAGATATGATGTCTGAAAATTTTTTCACCAATCAACTGCTATCATAAGTGTGGTACCAAATCAGGTGTTATTTATCAAAATTCATGGGTGGATTTTGATTGTTCAAAACTCTTCTGTTACTATATCATTCCCGCATCATAGATTTTCCCTTATATTTTATATACTACTTTTAATAATTTTTTTACAATACAAAAATAATAATAATTAATTTTAGCTAGGGTTGTTCATTAAACTGATGAAACTGACCAACCTTACCAACTTGAAGTGAGTTGATTGATATTCTAGTATTTCCGATTAGCTTTGGTTCAACAATTTCCCAACCTGACCAAGTTGGATCAGTTTCACTTTGGTCATCTGATACAACCCAAGTTGTCCGATTTTCACTAATGGTCAGTCAGCTTCAAGTGACCAACTCCCGAACCTGACCAGGTTGATTTGTTTGGCCAAATAGCCAAGAACCAAATAGAACCAACCCATGAGAACTCCTAATTTCAGCTAAATTAATAGTTTAATATGTCTCTAATAAATAATAATAGTTTAATCTTCAATAATTATTGAAAATTTACTACAAAAATACATAATTATTGAAAATATATCGATAATAAAAAAACAACAAAAATACAATAATTACTAAAAAATATATTAAATTAGCCAATAAATAGTGTAATATCAAATAATAGTTTAATCTCTAATAAATATTAATCAATATATTATAACAAAAATGCAATAAATACAATAAGTACAATAAATTAAACTTAAAAAGTTAAACAACACTAGTATAATCTTCAATAATTATTAAAAAATTTCTATTAAATAAAAACAAAAATAGATTTATACATAATTATTTAAAATATATTTATCACAAAAAATAATAATTCATTAATTAAAATACAACAAATCTTAATTTTGTTATATACTAATATTTAATAAATATAGATTAAGATTTTAAAATTATTTTCAAAAGTTAATTTTATTATATATTAATCTTCAATAATTATTTTCAAAAGTTATTTTCCAGAATTTTTAATTAGAATAAGTGAAAATAGTTATTTACAATATTATTTAGTTATTTAAATAATCTCATTATTTAAATTTTAAAATATTATTTTTTATTGAATTTAATAATCCATAAAATTATAATTTATACTATTAATACATAATTTTTTTATTAATTTCGTATAATATTAAATTTCTATTAATACATAATTATACTATTCAAATTTTTTCTTTATTTTAATTTTATTTCGATTAAAGTTAATACATAATATTTAATATTTTGTTATATAATCATTTAGCTATTTTTAATATTTGTTATTTAAGATATAGTTCTTGAAATATTTAAATAATATTCTATTTTTTACTATTAAATTTTTAAATTGAATAATCCAAAAAAACCTAACTTATATTGTTAGTACATGATTTCGTGATGTATTTTGTAAAATTATAAAATTGTTAATAATATGAATATTATTATATCGATTATAACTATTTTTTGTTTTTTAATAAATATTTTAAAGTTATTATGTATATATTTATAATATTTAAATAGTTTTTAAATTTCTTAATTCAAACCTTTTTTAGATAGAAATAGATAAAAAGTGGGGGAGAGGATAGATAGGACTTAGAGATAATTTAGGAGAAAGTGGGAGAGGTAGTTTAGGAGAAATTTTAGGAGATTATATTATTTAGGTCAAGGTTCAAAATATCGATATGCCCAAACGACAATAGAGACGTATCGGGCAGTATCTGTAGTTTTTTTTTTTATCTAGTTCAAAGGGGCCAGTTTAAGGTCTATCCACCCCGTGAACCGGTCAAAACCTCGATAAACCCTTTGTATGGGCGTATCGGGAAGCTCCCAATACGATACATATTGGCCGATATGGGCCTATACGTATCAATACTTTGAACCTCGATTTAGGTTATTGGGAACATGTGGGAAGGAGAGAGGGAGAGAGAGAGAGAGAGAGAGAGAGAGAGAGAGAGAGAATTGGTTGTTTAAAAAATGACATGGAACAAGAAAATCAAAAAAGGAGAAATTTTCTAGGCTGCTATGTTTTATTATATACTAGTGGGGTTCTATTAAATTATTAGTTTATTAAATAAATTAATAAATTGAAAATTAAAAAGATAATTTATTTTGTTAATGTATTGAAAATTATTAAATATTTTTTCAACCAAATAATAGATAAAAAATCATTTCAATATTTGACAATTTAAGTAAATAATTATTATTTTTGTTTTTGAATAATTATTGAATAACAATAATTTTCAACCAATTTCCAATAACTATTTAAAATTATTGAATATTTTTCCAATCAAGTTTCCATAATTACAGAAATTATTGGTTGAAAATTTTATATATTTATTAGTTTCCATGAATTACTAATTATTAATTCATTGAACAAAAGTTAATCAAGAATGTAGTGACAAATTTAAATAATTTCAATAATTATTTATCAATAACTACTAATTCATAATTTTCAAAAATTATATGAAAATTGACAATTTCAATATTTTGTGATGAATAATTTTCAGAACAACAAATTGACAATTTTTACAATAAGAAAATTTATTTTGTTAACAATACCATCAATAGCAATAATTTAACCAATAAATTCTTCAAGAATTATTAATTTTCTGAAATTAATAAATAACTTATATTGGGGAAGTTGTGGATTTGGAAATGGGCATGGGTCGGAACACCCAGAATCCGGGTTGCATTAATCACCTTCTTGACCCGGATTTCTTTACATTGGTCGCTCGATGCTGTGACCACAGTAGTGAACACTGGGTAGATTTAGTGTGCTTTGACGGCATAAAAATGCATCCCTCGTCGGATTGACACTGGCATCCATTAAACCAGTGATTGGTGTCAATTGGACTGGATTTGGTCCAATCCGATTCAGTCCAATGTGAGTCCATGACAAATGGCCTGGGTCCGATCCAGTCCAATAAATATTTTGGACCACTCCAGTTTAATGTCTGGACTGTCCAATCTATTCAAATTCCTGTTAATTTAGATTGGTTTCAATTCAAATTTGGTCCATTGATACCTATATTCATATCTTTTATCAATGGACCAAATAATGGCTCAATCCAATATAAATTTATTATGAACGGACCAGGTCCAATCCAATATGTCTAATTGGTCCGTCCAATCCATCCAAAATCAATATGTCTTATTGGTGCGTCCAGTCCATCTAAATTGATTTTGATTCAATATGCTTCCAGTCATTTCAAATTCAATATGCTCCCCTGTTTTAGAAAAGACGGTGGTTGATGTGATTGCGAGAAAACAGGTTGCTAAAATGGTGGTTTTGACTGTGAAGAACATGTTGCTCATTGGAACAATACCGACGACCATTATTCATAGAAAAACCGACCATTTTGATCGCCAATGATCAGTGTTTTTTATAGGGCTGGGAGTAAGACACTCCCCTGTTTCGAAAAACATATTACAAAGGTTCCAAACAATTGCCATGAAAAGTCATACAATTCGGTGATCGGAAAACATATCTGGAGGCGATGTAAAAGAAACCAATTCTCTGAATCAAAGTCGGAAGTTTTTGAAGCGCGATTAACTTGCTGTGTTTGAATAAAAGTTGAGTTTTTAAAAAACAGAGCTAGTTAAAGATTAATCTTGGTATCACGACTCGACTTATAGAGTTTCATTCAACAACTCTTTCTAAAATTGTTTGTTGGGGTGGGAAACATAAATGACTGAACGTAGGTTAATTACGTGGCCAATAACAGATCAAAATGTAACATTTTGATTTGTTAAAGATAAAATAATGTAGAATAAAATAAATAAAAAAAGAGAAAATTTATATTGAAGGACTGCATTTGGCATAAATTATCAATGACCTTGTTTATGCATTCAGTTTAATTTACTGAACTCTTCAACTTTCTAATATGCATAGGGGTTTCAAACTTTCAAATATCTATGGTGACAATAGGATACATGGAGTTTCTATTTGGTTCTCTCTATTTATTTTTTGGGTTTCTAACATATAAGGGCAACTTTTGGGGTTTAATATCAATAAAAATAATATATTTAAAAAAATTTCAAAAATAGGTTAACTTTTGAAAAATAATATGAATAAAGGGCAAAAATACTGTTCTTCTTCTTCTTGCCATTTGTTTACCAGAGCCGTTGTCTGCCGCCGCCCGCCGCCCACCTCCGCCTCCGCCTTTGGCAATGTTGCCAGAGGTGGCCGGAGGCAGAGGTGGCAGCAGCGGCGCTGGTGGTCATTTCTCTGTCTCCATCCATCTCTAACAATGTTGTCGGAGGCGGAGTGGAGGTGGGCGGAAGTGGCGGCATTGGACAGAGAAACCACCAGCGCCGCCGCTGCCACCTCTGCCTCCGGCCACCTCCGGCAATGTTGCCGGAAGCGGAGGCGAAGGTGGGCAGAGGGGGCGGCGGGCGGCATCGGATGGCGGTAGCGGACGGCGGCTCTGATGAACAAATGGCAAGAAGAAAAAGATGAACAGTATTTTTGTTCTTTATTGATATTATTTTTAAGAAGTTAAACTATTTTTAAATTTTTTTAAATATATTACTTTTATTGATATTAAACCTCAAAAGTTGTCCTTATATGCTACTATCCCTTATTTCTTTCCTTTTGCATGGAAAAGAGATTGGTGTAGCTGAAATGTCAATTACATTGGTTCTGGACTAGTTAGTCAACAGAGGGATAAGCCATGTTCTAACGTCGTATTGTTTGATATTGATTTTTGCTTTTTTTTTTTTTTTTTTTTTGTGCACCGTTGAATGAATTCCCACTTCTTTATCTGGTCTTTTCATTTCTTTTGAACACTGTTATGGCAAGAGCAGCTAAACAATGTATTAAACACCCTACAAGTGTTGTGGTGGTAATGATGATGGTGGGGAGGAGAGGGAAAGAGAGAAAATTTGCAAATCGTGTGTCTTCCAACAACTATATTCCCTATATCTAAGCCTCTATCCCCAATCCATGCTGGCAAATGTATCATAAATTCATAATAAGTAACAACAAACGCGTCTCTTGGTCTCCTACTTTATCCACCTTAAATACTGTCTTCAAAGTAGGTCCAATTGGAAGGGTTATGGATGGCTGCAGTCTTCTTCTTGTTCTTCAGGATCTACTTTTGAACGCACTAAACTCACACATTCAGTCCATCACTTTTTGACTTCTGAACCCAAAGATGGACTCCAGCTACTGTAAAGTAGGAATGATCAGAATTTCAGAAATATACCAAGAAGATTGCGGCACCCATATTGCACAATGCCTCGTACATTTGTATTGACGTTTGGTACACGTTTAGGTATCACATTCTCATCCCGTGGAAGGAACTTTCATTTTTCTGGGCAAGATTTGTCCTTGCAAGTCAGCTCACCCACCAATCCACTTGGTTCTATAATCACCAAAACTTAGGACCTATTTGGTTTGCAGGAATTGGGATCTGGAATCAGAAAAGGTTGGCAGAAATTGGAGTCTGAAATCAAGTGCAGATCTCCTGTTCACGTTTATTGCAGTCACACACGGAGAATATTTCATCCTCTGCATAAGGGAGATGTTCCCAATTCACGGCGAATAGTGTGTTGTGGGTAGACGTGAACAGAGTTATCGTGAGCAGATCCGAACTCTGAAATCGAAATTGGAATGATCCATTCCTGGTGTAATGGCATTTCCCCATTTAAAGGAATGGCCCTCCCCCTTCCTTGGGAATGAGAATGTTATTTCAACTAATTTTCATTCTGATTTCACCTGTTAGTTGTGTGGATCAGAATCCTATCTCCATTCCTAGTGGAATAATTTGAGGATATGGCCTTCCCCCTTGGTAATGAGAATCCATCACATGATTACTGATTTCCTTTCCCATCTGAACCAGATGGGAAGAATAGACCGTTATGATTCCAATTCCAAGCGTTGGCTAAACAACGCTTTAAAGGCCCAATATCAATTTTATTGCAAGTCAATACATTCAGCAGGTGTGGAGACAACCCACGGGCCACCATTGCGTGTTGGCAACAAGGATATGTACTCTATGGATTCTAAATTTAGGTCTAAGGTTTCAACCCGCATTCCCATATCCAATTCTTATTTGTTACAAGCAGAGGCACATCTTGCCTCATAAAAACCATTTTAACATCCTGCCAGTGTCATTCCACCAGTTTCTCACCTTAAAATTGTAATGGTCTTGCCAGCTGGTAACCAGGCGATTACTTCATGTAGATGATGCCCTTGAGATCACCTAAAGCACTAGCTTAGCCAATTCATATAGAGGCCACTTGGCTTTCTTTATCCAACTAGATAAACTCCCTCTTGCTTTTAGGGAAAATGATGCTTGAAACCACAGCAGGTTTGAGCCACACACCCATCTGCCAGATTGAACCGGTAATTTATCATGCGGTTGAATCTAAAGGTCCTATTTTTCATCTGCACTTCCACCCTAACCATTTACCAATATTTGTCTCCACTGCTTATCAAAATTAAACACAAAAATCCTAGTTGTCAAGGCGTTGCCTAGGCGCCCCGCCCAAACACCTTGACTTTTGGCAACTAGGTGCCCCTCTAGGCAACTAGACACCCACCTAGACAATGTAGGCACCTTTTATAATATCATTTGTATTGCTGTATCTTATTAATGCATGTGTTAATACATATTAATGTTTTACTATTGAAATTTAAAAGATCAAAGGGCTTTGAGGAGAGAAAAAAAAAAGAAAAAAAGAAAGAGGAAAGAAAATAGAATTATAAAGAGGTTCTTTTTTTTTTCTACTCTCTCTCTCTAATTAAATAAAACAGAAACTCCATCCTTGTTTTTTCTATTTTACTTTCCATCTGGAAGGTCTTCAGGCAACAACCCCCACCCTTCAGGCACATGGCATTGTAAAATTTCACTAGAAGAATCTTAGAGGAGGTTAAACTCGCCCTCTTGAAAAAGTCTATCTACTCACAAAAAAGTGACAACTCCACTCTCTTAAAATTCACACAGCATCCTAATCCCTAAAAAGTGCCCATTTCAAATGTTATGGTAGTAACTGAATTTTATTCAAACACAACCATTTCAAAAGTAACAATTAAACAAATAATTTAACTTAAAAATATTCAAAATATTAAATGGATAAAAATAGAAATAAATGAAATTCATAAAAATGACTAAACAATTAATACAAATGGTGTGAGTTTTATTCTTTTAGATGAAATAGTTTATTAATTGCAAACTAGATTTAACATTTTTTGGAAGCATAACCTAATTTAGCTTTTAAAAATAAATTTATCAAATAAATAGTAAATACCAATTAAAGTGGGTTGCTGCTTACCAATAAGACCTCATTTAATCTCTTAAATCACATTAAATACAACATTAATTAATATTAATAGTGATTTTCAAACAAAGTAGGTCAGAATAGATTGTCAATTATAAAGATGTACGACCCAAGTTAATTTTTCTAATTTAATTTTTTATAGTTAAATAGTAAATTTTATATTAAATGATACTGTAGTTGCCCCTTAATATGGGGTCATTCTCTAGATAAAACATGGTAAGTCTCTTAAATCAAATAAAAAACCTAACCTAAATGTCCAATATAAATAATTTAAAAATTGAAATAATTCAGATTAATGGTCTCATACTTAGTACAGGGGTCATTCCTAGTTTATCATATAAAGTTAATAACCTTCTTTAACTACTAATTGATATGAAATTGCTCTATTAAATACTTATTATAGTAGTATTGTTTTTTAAAATAATGAAATTAATATAAGTAAAAGATTTTTATCTTTTAGATGCGATGATTTGCCATGTTTTTAGAAGAGATTTAATGTTTTTAATAAACAAAATTGCTATTTTTTTCAATTAATATGCATGTTGCAATGGTATACAAAACTAGGGAACTAGGCAACTAGACGCCCCAATTCTGCCCAGAATCACCCAGACGCCTTAAAAACTATGTTTCACATCATGTTAACCATTCATAATCTTGTCAGAAGTCATAACCAAGTTGAAACTGCCCTAATCTTCTCCAAGATGCAATGCCAGTCCACTGTCTATTTAAATAAGTTTATAATGTGGCACTAATGATGATTTAATGAACTTCAGCTTGTACAGAAGGTACATCCATCTTCATGTTGTAAACAATGTGAAAGTACGCAAAAGGCTCACACAATCTCTTCATTATGTTGCTTAGTAGAAGGAACCCGAGTAGGAAAGTATAAGATGTGCTCATGGATATAAAGGAATAAAAGAATGTCACAAGGGCAAAACATGACTCTTGCCATATATGCATCATCTTAAATTGATTCTATCATGATCAAACACTGTAAATTACCAATTGAGAATGAACTTTGAAAGTTAAGTCATTAGCAAACATGAACTGGCTCAAGCTGAGGCATCCGCCTTTTATAAGTGTTACATGATCTGGCCAGTCAATTCTGTATCTTCATTATCTAGCTCTTGTTCCACTCCCTTAACCTGTAACATTGAAGCTTTTACAAGCATGCCAAAAAGGTAGAACAATGAACTAACAACTAATCTCTAGTTCTCCAACAAGGTTCAAAGTATACTGAAAAATTCAGTATCAAGTGATTAAAAGCACCAAACACTCCTTTTCAGTCAGTGCAAATGTTTTTCAGTCAAACTGTAATATTTATGCAAGTGCAAATGAGTACAAACTTAACAGATCTTACCTCAGGTACATAATGCATAAGCATGTTTTCAATGCCTGATTTCAGAGTGATTGAAGAGCTAGGACAACCACTACAGGCTCCTTGCATCCGTAGCTTGACTATTCCAGTTTCTCTGAGAAATAAACAAAGAAAGCCAAAACTGAATGCCAGAAACCAAATATATATTTACCACTACCAATATTAAGAGTCAATAGGAAAAGTTCAACTAGGAGCAAAACCTACATGTCAAATCCTCGATATTCTATATCCCCACCATCATCTTGTACTGCAGGGCGGATACGAGTCTCAAGCAATTCTTTAATCATTGCAACTGTTTCTGAATCATCCTTCAAAACCAAGCACCAGTAAGGGTCATGTCTAGAAAATACACGAACTACATATATAATTAGAAATATTCAGAAAGATAAAATTCTTAAATGCACAAATTTAACAAGTTTAACTTGGCTCCTTAATTTAGGATGCAAGTGTCTATAAAGCTTTCAACTAAAGAATACATAACCAGTTTGAGCATCAGCTTGAGAAAAAAAAAAAAAACTCAAGCATTTAATATAATGCTGGTCACATGTCCATCCATAGTGTGTTTTAAAGGATGCCTGCATCAAAAATTCAAGGAGCAAAGTATGCTTGCTGGTGGTCATGACTAAGTATGCTAGTCATAACTTTCTGTGGTGCGTCAAAACCTTCACGACTTCGTTAAAGAAAGAAGAAAAATAGATCATAGCTTTCTGTTGGAAAGACAAAGTATGCTAGTCTAAAATGAAGGTTGAATAAGAATTCCTTTCAAGAAACCCCATTATTTTCCTAAAAAGATATACATGCAGATTTCAATAATAGCAATGTCCACATGACTAATCTCGATTATTGGAGCTTTTCACTTACAAATTAATATGTAAAACTCAACCGACTTAAATGACTCTTGCCAAGTTGTGAGACTCATCCAATCATGTGATCTCACTTGGCCAAGCCTAAGAAATTTCATGTCAACACCATGACTCAGATCCTGATGCTTAACAGTCAAGTCAACTCAGATGAGTCACTTAAGTTAACTCCTGATTCACAAGCCTATGGTGCAAACAACAACAAAATCTTCTTAAAATTTAATATGGAACAATCACCAAGTCCCCACCACCACCACCAAAAAAGAAAAAAAGAATCAAACAACAAGTAATATAACAAAGATCAAGAAGATTCCTAATACCAAACCACACTTGAGGAAAGGCCCTCCAATATAGATCTATATCTACCACCTGGCCATCTTATCAGCCAAAGAATTGCCAGATTAAGGAATCCATATAAATGAAATTTTCACTCTTGATGTCAGAAATCTACCCATCTAATAGAACAATAAAGGAATGGCATGCAGCATGCTAGGAGTATGATGTGCCTCCCAACAAATTATATTCTTCATTTGTTACTAGTTAACTTCAGATATATGCTAATTTTATTCATATAAATAACCACAATTCAACATTTCTATTTCCATTAGTACTTCAACAGTTTAAGGTTAATTTGTAGATGTGCAGCCAAAGTCTATAAAAAGGGAAGTCAAACTCACACTCTCAGGCCATATGGGCCTTCATGTGGCTGTCAACATGGACCTATACCTATTCTAGCAAGCAAAAGAATTTAAAAATTTCCAGCTGAAGTGAGTCCATGTGCCGAGTAGAAGATTCCCTAAATCAAATCGATCAAAGATTTGATTGCATCTTAAAGATTTCATAAAAATTAAGAAGATATGTTAGATTTAATTATATTCGAATTTTTTCTTTATAAGCAGGTATTTCCATGCTAAGCTACACTTACTGGAAAAACAAATATCTAATTTCAAAGAAATATGACATTCATCTATAAAACAATTGCTCAAGCAAATAAGCTAATGGGTACATAACTACAATGTTCTCTCAATATTTTTAAGGGTAAATTACAAAGACCCCCCTGTACTATGGGGTCAGTGACAACGACCCCCCTGCACTTTTTTTTGCCACACCCCGAACTTTGGCCATAAGATAAATAACCCCTCAGCCGTTAAGTCAGATAATGGAAACCATTAAATTACCAAAATACCCTGCTAAACTTGCTCTTTTTTTTTTTTTGCCATTTTCTCTTAAAACCTAACCCAGAAATATCCCCATTACTTCTCAACAAAAAAATACTTCTGCAATCTCGGCTGTCCATTCCGATGTTGCTCAAGTAAACATATCAAGTTTTCTGTATGGGTGAATGTACAAGATACAGAGAGAACCTTCAATGGGGTAGAACTTGAAGATTGGTTTGAATCATTTCCTGACATCTTGGAAGAGCCCAGATGACCCTTCAATGGGGGATTAAAGCACAAGAACCAAAAGGCTTGGGATCTCAGAGATGGGCCCAATGGCTGTGTTGTGCAAGCTGAGTTCGATTAAGAGATTTTGTTCCTCCGTTTGAATTGTCTGATAAGAAATTTAATTAGAAATGATTGAGCTGATATAGATACATGTATCTCAGAAATTTTCAGATTACTCAGGCTCTACAGTTGCAAATGGAAGTGCAGAAGAAGCTTATTGAACAGATTGAGGTTGGCTTTTCATCAACCCAGCTTTATTTTAAAGCCAGTTATTATTGGCAAAGAATAATGGATACACATCAGCAACTAGTTTTCTCCTCTAGGTGCAGAGACACAGCTACGGATTGAAGTTCAAGGAAAATACCTACAGTCAGTTATAGAGAAAGCACAGGAAACATTGACCGCGTATAATTCATGTGTGGGACTCGAAGTTGCAAAAGCTGAACTCTCTCATCTGGTCTCCATGGTTCTTCCTTCTCAGAACTAACTAAAGGAGGAAGTTTTAGCTGAGAAGAGGCAGAGAAGCAACTAATGAGTGGTGTGCATTGTTCAATGGTCAATTTGTTAACATTTTCTAAGAGCTGTGAGAGAAAAGAGGAAAAACCACAGAAGCTGGAAGATGGATACCTCAATGAATGTAAAATACATTCAAACGTGCATCCATTTATGGAGATCAATCCAAACAGGGGCAACTCAAATGATTGAATTGGTCGACGGAAGCAAAGTGGGAGCACCATCTCTGATGGTAATTCTGTTGATCAGCAATCAGTTAAGAGATTACCAACCCATAAGAAGGATTGTGATAACCAGTTTAGAAAGTTAGGATCAAAGGATGAACTTGATTTTAACAATCAGTATCAGAGTGAAATTGAATCGGGCTTCGAAGATCTAGACTTGAACAGCAGGGGAGCGGAATCAGGTTACAAGCCTTCCAAGAATTTTGGCTCCTGAAATGTTGTTTCAAGATGCATATCCAGTGATGGGTTTGAAAATTGAATTCTATATATCATATAGAACTGGAAAGTGGTTTAAGTGAACAAAAAAAAATTGTTCTTGTACAGCTTGTGCGAATACCAACATCACCGAGGCAGAAGGGGTTGTGTGATTTGGGTCGGTAATCGATCGATCTTTGGGAATACATCCTGGATGGCAGCCAAGATCTGTACATGAGGGTGGCAGCTTCAGATCTAGGTGTGACAGCTCCAGATGCTTCAGCACAGTGGAGAAGAAAGTGGGGACTTCATCTGTAAGCTACGAGTAAATAATAATATGGGTAAAATTGTCCAGAAAAATATCATAAGGGCAATTTAGGAATTACAAAATATGATAACTAAAAAATGGAATCTTTTTCGAATATACCTGACAGAATGTTGATGGAGGGGAGTCTTTGTCTAACGGCCAAAGTTCAGGGGGTATTTTTCGCAAAAAAAAAGTATAGGCGGGTCTTTGTCACTGACCCCATAGTACAGGGGGGTCTTTGTAATTTACCTTTTTTTTTAATTTATACTCAAGCCCAATTGAGCAAGGTGGTAGAATTGAGCTTCGATAGTAGTAGTGTGGGCAATCCAGGTTCTTCAGGAATTGGAGGGGTGATAAGAGATGAGACCGGTATTATATGTAGTTATGTACCTTGTACTCGGGCCCAATTGAGCAAGGTGGTTCTGTAAGAGAAGAATTCTTAGCTGCAGTTTTTGGGTTAAAGATAGCTACAGAACTGGGAATTGGGAGGTTGGTTCTTGAAGGTGATTCCAAGCTGGTAGTGAGGTGGTTAAAGAAAGGTGAGGGGTGATTTGGCAGCTAAGAAATGAATTCAGGTGCTTCAAATAGCTATCAAAAGATATGATCATTCAAACAAAGTGGGTTAGCCAAGCAAGGGATTCAAAGACAATGTATGTACTAGGCTCATTTGTAATACAGTTGGGTGGGTCTGTCCTGTAATGGGTTAGACAGTTTTTTCACAACTTCTTGTAATCTTTTCCTTTTAAGATGTAATGAATGAATGAATTTCTGAGTTGCTGATTTGTTCAGAACTTTTCAGGCCTATGGCCCTATGCCTTGTAACTCTAGCCCCAATTGCCTTGTTTCTACAAGCCTTGAAGGAGACTTCAAGAGAAAGTAGAATTTCAAAATCCAAAGACCTCTTCATCTAATTGCGAGTGGGTATAAACAAAGAATAAGCATCAATACACTTAGGAATCATTAGACCGAAACATCCATTTAAACTAGGTAATACAGGATACAAGTGGCTACACCCTGACACAAGCTGGACACCTTAAAAAGTCATTCATAAAAAGAAAATGACTGTTCAAGTGTATTACATCCTCTTATCAACAACAAATTATATAACACACATTTAAATACTTGCTATAAATATCTTTTTGTTCTTTAGGCTCAGTTTGGAAGGAGTACAAATACAAATATGTAGTGCAACACCTTGAATTTGTATTATTTTGTATGTATTTGTACTGTACATATTTGTATTTTTACCCTTTCCAAATTGAGCCTTAGTATTTTGAATTAAAAAATACATTCACCATTTAAAGATTAAACAATAAGAACTACCACACTACAAAAACTATGACAGATAGACATCACAAATATCTATTTGTTTTGTTTTAATTTTTGAAAAAAAAAAATCCATTGGACTGACCAGTTGTACCTTTTATATGATTTCCTTGTATAATTTAGCATATGATTGGTTCCGTGGGCATTTCGTGATAGGCATTTTGATAAACGCCACCATGTTATCGCCAAATCAGCATTTATCCTATCATGTCCATCCGCATGCATAGGTATTCACAAAAGTTGGCCTTTATTTACGTGCGCACCAACCATTGGAGGAAACTTCATTTTAATGCTTCCCCCAATGATTGAGCGTTTATTCACTGTTTCACTGATGTGGCGCCTAGTGGTGCCTAGTTGTCAATAAATGGTTTATCAAGTACTTTTCTCGGCTTTGAAGACAAATCAAGTACAAACATTTATTTAATAAACGGAAGCTATACCAAACGCATACTTAGTATTTCAAATATATTATTATATTAAAAATATTAAATTATTCCTATAGAAATTGAAAAAAAAAACATCTAGTTTATTGTTTTTATGAAATTTTGAAGAGAGATTCCCTTTCCTAGCAAGGCAATCTTCTCGCCCCCCCCCCTCTCATTTGTTTTTTTATCATAGTTGTCCTCTTATTTATTTGTTGGTTTCAAAGTGTCAGCCAAAAATTACACATGCCAAATGCTTCATATACTCTGAATTTAACATTCAGACAAAAGAAAATCAAAATCAAAAGTTCCAAGGTCTCACCAACTTAGAGTCAGAAATTTGACACTGAATGAAGGTTTATTTTGTTTTCAATTGCCAGCAAAAGGAAGCACTTCAGTAAAAACAACTTGGTTTCATTGGAAGCCAATAAACAAGGATAGAACAAAACAAAGTCCAAATGATACCTCATGAATGGCTGTGTCCAAGGAAGCTGCCATATTGGCATCTAGAAAGAGTGGCTGACCAGAAGAATAAAAGTCCATAATAGCTGCAAAAATTTCAGGTTTTAGAAGATCCCAAGAAGTTTCATCTGACTTTGTAACTGTTAAAAAATCTGACCCAAAAAACACTCGTGTAACTCCTGCATCAAAAACAGAAAACGGGGTTAGATCAATATTGCTCACCCATCTTTTATCTATTTCTAGCAAGAGTGAAACGAAGAAAAGCGAAACTTTCTCCAATGCTTTTATGACAAACAGGAAATAGGGGATCTTAGGTTCACCACACCACAGTTGATGGTTAGATGCATGAAAGTTAGGAATGCAGGCTACTGTGTGGTTGGTTAACCTTCAAGGCCATTGTTTGGGCACTCATGGGGATAAATCTCTTCAAATATTGGTAGTTTTCATTCCAAAAAACTTATTTACAGGAAGATGGATTCATGGAGTGTAACCTACATTTTAGAGGAGAGTACATGTTTGATGATAATCTGTCAATGAAAGACCAACCCCTATCTTATGTGCTTAGACATGATCCCAATTAAACAAAGGGTGCCAGTGACACCAGAGGCAGTAATGTCTGGATCATTAAAAATCAGTGTTTTTTCTTTTTGTGGTAAAAGCAGCAAACCATCAATATTTAAATTCAAGATATTACTTTGTGGGTCAGTTGGCCACATCATATATTCCCCCTCAGGAGTTAACTCTTGCTCCAGATCTCCACCAGAACCTCTTGTTCTTCTTGTTTAGTTTTTCCCCCAATTTGATCAGTAGCAAGACAATATCTATACATATATACATGTAGAAAGATGTATATTAGGAGAAGTCAACAACTCCAAACAAAAATGAAAGGGCCAACCAAAAACAAAGACCACTCTGCTAGACCATCAAGATACAAAGGTACAATCTACTCACAACCCCAGTGACCCAACTATAACAAAAATCCAAAGAAACCTAACTGACAGGAAGCACTCAAAAGATACAAGCAACCAGATAGGTGCCACAGAAAGGCATGGATAAGTGGATCTTAAACACCTAGGACCCAGACTCAGAAAAAATGCTGACTGCACAAAATCTTCCCAATCTGAAACCAAAATCCTTGCCTTCCCGTCACAATCTGTTGTTGCACTTTATATGACATGCCCTTTCTTCCTCTAACATAGATGCATTACCACTTCTCTGAAATACCCTGTTCAGGTTATATTTCACCATAGCTTGCATTATCTCCTTCAACACCACGCCCCTCATTAGTTCTCTCAACTTCTTCAGCTATTCAATCTTGTTCTTCCAATCACTTAAAATAATCAAACACTTAATTATGACCCCAATAGAAAATAATTCAACCCTCCTCCCCTGTCTTATGTACATAAAATAATAGAATTTACCACTTATACAATAGAAGCCTGGGATGATATGATCAAGTTTGACTTGAAAGGCAAACAAGTCCACATATAATGGCTCGTTAACCTACATATGATTTAAAAAAATCTCCCTTGACAAAACTAGATATAAAGAAAAACATAACAAAATCATAACAAAATAGAGAACTAATTCTTAATTGAATTTATTTGAATCGTAGAAATCGTAAGATTTATTAATCAAATCATAGGATTCAAAGAGGCATGATGGAGTTTGCACCAGCAAGGAGATAGAGAAGAGTTCTGAAGATTGAGGCAAAAAGTTTGTCTTGAAAGAAGTTTGGACAAGAAGAGGAGTTGCCCTGAAGATAGTGGAACTGAGAAAAGCTTCGTTGATTCTTGAAGAGAAAGCAATATCCTGGCTTCAGGGATTCCTGGAGGGAGCGAAGAGGACATTAAGAACAATAGAATGGAAGTGTAGTCTTGTGGAAGAGGGAAGAAGGTATGCTGCTGGAAGAAGAGAAAACAACAAAGGAAGATTTGTGGGTATTTACGAATATTATGGAAATGGTATGAAACAGTTCACTTGCTTCCCTGAAGGGAGAGAAGCATCGGGTTGGGATAAATTAATACAAGCAATGCAGGATTTTCTGGTGTTAGTATATGAAAGAMRAAGTTCTCCAATCAGAAAGGAAGAGGGTCAGAAGAAGCTTGAAGAGAAGATGGAATTAACAGACTGGAAGGAAACACAAAATAAGGGAACCAATACAGATAAGGATGTTCAGATTGATGCAAGATTAGGGTCAATGAGAATGCGGATCAATAAAGCCAAAACAGAACGGGAGAACAAATTAGTGTTGTCCATGAATAAGGATGTTACAGATTGGAAAACCCTGGGTGAAGAGATTCAACAAATTTTGAAGGTATCAGAAAGGCTGCAGATTATTCCTATTGATGAGCAGAAGGCTGTGATTCTTTGTAAAAATCCCTGGCCGGATTATGAAGCTGTGTCAGCAGTAACAAAGCAAGGATTGGCAGTGGTAGGAAGATGGTCCCCAAGTTGTAATGAGAAAACTGTAAACCCAACAGATAGCATTGAGTTGAGAATTCTGGGGCTGCCTTATCATCTATGGTCGGATGAGATTCTTAACAGAATTGCAAAGTTGTCTGGTGGGGAACTCTCGACTGTGGATGTCTCAAATCTCCGAGCTGTGCATATAGAGGTGAATGGAGCGAAGCCAAAACTCATCCCACATTCTGTAGATGTTTTCTCAGATGGTCAAATGTTCAAAGCTTGGATAGCCTCCTCTGTGGAAGCTCAATGGTGGAAGGAAGGACTGGAGAAGATGATGCTGACGTGACCAAAACCTGGTACCGAGGAAACCTTGGAAAGAGAGAAGAACAGAGAAAATTAGGAAGTTTCATGAATAAGGAAACTGAAGAGATTGAGAATTGGAAAGGTGTAAATCAAGCTACCTCTCAGTGTGAGAATTCGAAGCAGCAGGTCAGAACTTCAACAGGCAGATGTAAAACTTTCTCTCAGGGCCTCAGGCTTTAATGAGATTAAAAGGTGGAGACGTGGCAGGTTCAAATTCAAACAAAGGGCCTGGGGTGGGGACAAATGGGAGAGAAGTAAATCCCGGTGGGCCTTCGAATGGTTTGGCCCAATTACAAGAAAGATTAAATAGACACGTGACTTCAGTAGATAATGGGGGGGGGGCTGCTGGGCTGATTAGACCTGGCCCATTAAAAAAGGCATCATGTGATCACTTAAGTGATCACGTAAGAGGTCGAATTTTGGGGGACCATTGTTTGGGTGTACCATCGTCCCAAACTGATGTTGCAGCGGCAAATTCTTCCTCCAAACACAACTCTCCAGCTGCAGGCTCAATGAGAAGCTCTAGTTTGAGGCTTGCTTGGGTGCAGAGACTGGTTTCCTACTCTACTAGTCCAGAGAATCTGAATCCAAGGTACAATAGAACAAAGAACAGAGATGAAACTTTAGCTCGACTTGGGGAAGAAGCAGAAGATGGCTTGAAACTACTGTTTGATGACGATCTTTCTACTACACTTCCTAGACTCTCAATCCAGCCTGACAAAGGGGAAGGAAGATTAGGCACCACCTCGTGGGAAGTAAAATCTAAAACAAAGAATAGCAGAGATCTGTGTTCAAAACAAGACCAAATACAGGATATTAGTAGGGGCTGTAAAGTCAACCCAGAACCTCTTAGTAGAGCTACAAGCTGCCCTGTTCCCATGGCTAACTATCTAGAGGGTGATTCTGAAGGTAATACCTCTGACTTTAGCCCAATGATTGGGGTTAAAGGGTCACCAAATCCTCCAGTAAATCTTACCTGTTTAAAAAAGTCTCTTTTGAACCCAATTTTTGTTGCTACTAATGTTTCTTCTAGTCCTGTGTATGTTGTGCCTACAGGAGAGACTAACCCAACCATGCAGTCTGCCAATCAGAATGATCAAATATAAGAAACAGAGGTGATTGGAGATTTATTTTCATAAAGTGTAGACAGGGAATTCGGGGATAGAATTTGGGAGCTGATTATGGAACTGTTTAGAATTCAGGTGGAGGAAGAGATGGCTGAACAGATTGAAAGGGATGAGGAGGGTGGCACTCCTAATCCTATTGTTGAAGAGGAAGTAAAGGGTGATGGTAGATTAAATGCAGAAGTTGGCTCAAAAAAACAAATGGGGAAAACAAAGAAAAAGGGAAGCTAGAGGATCCTAGATCTAAAGGAGCTAGTGTAAAAAAGCAGAGAAAGGAAAAATTAAGTGAGGTGGAAAGGCTAAGATGTGAAGTGGATTATGATAAAGGGAGTGTTGCAAAAAAGGAGAAGTGGTGAGTGGTTTGTTTTGTTAAAGGGTATTTTGTCGCGGTCTCCGTGAAATTGATTAGCTGGAAAGTAAGGGGGTTAGGAAGCTCAAGAAAAAGAGGAGTGATTAGGGATCTGTTGAGAAGAGAAAAAACAGATATTGTGTTGATTCAAGAATCTAAGTTGTCTGAGTTAGATAGGAATTGGGTAAAAAGTATTTGGTCAGCGAGAGACATAAGTTGGGCATACGCACAATCTTGGGGAGCTTCAGGGGGAATTATAACTTTGTGGAAAAATGCAGAGATGGAGTGTATTGAGGAGATAATTGGGAAGTATTCAGTGTCCATCAAGTTGAAGAGGAGGATGGATGACTGGGAATGGGTTTTAACTAATGTGTATGGACCCACCTCTTATAAGGAAAAGGAGGGACTATGGGAGGAATTAGCAGCAGTGAGAGGTCTATGGGAGGGACCCTGGTGTTTGGGAGGAGATTTTAGTGTCATAAGATTTTTGAGTGATTCAAACAACCCAAATCATCTTGTTACAATGGTCAAATTTTCAAGAGGTTCCCACTTGCTATAAGTTAGACAGATTCCTATTCACAACTGATTGAGAAGTGGCTTGGTGGGGTTTAGTAGTTACAGCTCTGCCAAGACCTGTTTCAGACCACTGCCCAATAAGTTTGACCTAAGAGAGATTGGGGGGTGGCCCCTGCCCTTTTAGATTTGAGAATATATGGCTTTTGCACCCTGAATTCTTGCCAAAGGTGAAGGAGTGGTGGGAGGAAGATCATGTGGATTTCAGATGGAAGGGTTATAGATTCTATAAGAAATTGCAATTGTTGAAAGCAAGAATTAAGTTGTGGAATAAAGAGAGCTTTGGAAAGATTGAAGAAAGAAAACAGGAAATTCTCAGCAGAATAGAGCAGCTAGATGGTGAGGAAGCTGAGAGAAGTTT